TATGGTTCGATTCCTGGTCGGGGCACATGCCCGGGTTGCAAGCTCGATCCCCAGTGGGGGGCATGCAGGAGGCAGCCGATCAATGATTCTCTCTCATCATTGATGTTTCTCTCTCTTTCTCTCTCTCTCTCTCTCTCTCTCTCTCTCTCTCTCTTCCTCTCTGATGAAATCAATTAAAAATATTTTAAAAAATCAATAAAGAGCCCTAACCAGTTTGGCTCAGTAGATAGAGTGTCGGCCTGCGGACTGAAGGGTCCCAGGTTTGATTCCGGTCAGGGGCATGTACCAGTGGGGGGTGTGCAGGAGGCAGCTGATCGATGTTTCTCTCTCGTCGATGTTTCTAACTCTCTACCCCTCTTCCTTCCTCTCTGTAAAAAATTAATAAAATAAATTTTTAAAAAATCAATAAAGATATGCAATGTGCTAATTATTTAATATATCCATCGATTTCATTTCTACCCCCAGAATGTGGACGACGCAATGACCGTGCTGCCCAAACTGGCCACCGGTCTGGATGTCAATGTGCGATTCACAGGGGTCTCCGATTTTGAGTACACACCTGAGTGCAGTATCTTCGACCTCCTAGGGATCCCCCTCTACCACGGCTGGCTTGTCGATCCTCAGGTGAGGGTGAGAGGGCCCAGATGAGACTCTTGTCCAGCTCAAGCGACAGAGAAGCAGCGTTTTGTGGGCTGGGGGTTAGAGAGGTAGGGGTTAGGGATGTAGGGATTCGATTGGCTTTGGAGGGAATCTGGTTTAGAGGCAGGACTCAGTGTAGATCAGACTGAACCTTAAACATTTTTGGTAATCATAGGCAGTTATTGAGACGGCCAGGGTTTCAGGAACCTTTGGTCCTAGGGTTGCAGTCCATTTCCTTCCTAAAAAGATCTCAATTTTTTTTTCTGTTATTGCCCCACCGCACTGCCCATGCAGAGTCCTGAGGCTGTGAGTGCAGTCGGGAAACTGAGCTACAATCAGCTGGTGGAGAAGATCATCACCTGCAAGCACTCTAGCGACACCAACCTGGTGACAGAAGGTGAGCTCCCCCCGTCTCTCCTGTGGCTCTTATGTGGAGGGAAGGAAGGCTACTTTGATTTATTGTTCATTGTCTATCTCCCCCGCTCCCCCCCCGCACCCCCCCACCAACCACATCCCACTAGAAAGGGAGTTTGGGGAACGCATTAGTCCCCCTAGTGCAGTGCCTGGCGGGCGCGAGGTGGCTGCTCAGCAACTGTTTGTTGCATGAATGACTGCAGCCAGGCTCCGGGGAAGAGATTTCAGAGGGTGGGCCCACCCCCAGGCCTTTGGACAGAGACTGTCTGGGTGCCCCTCCTTCTGTGGACTTGGGAGGTGAGCCAAGGCCCCGCCCCCGCTCCTTGTGCCCTCCGGCAGGCCTGATTGCCGAGCAGTTCCTGGAGACCACCGCGGCCCAGCTGACCTACCACGGGCTGTGCGAGCTCACCGCGGCTGCCAAGGAGGGCGAGCTTGGCGTCTTTTTCCGGAACAACCACTTTAGCACCATGACTAAGCACAAGGTGACGGGGCATTGGGTGGGGGTGGGGGAGGGCTGCAGTGCTGTTGGTTTCCTCATGCCTTTTCCTTCTGGGTCAGTGTTTCAGTCAGGACAGGGGAGATCAAGCGCTGATAACCAATGACTCCCACAGTCCCTGTGGTTTCCCGCAACCAAGGTTTATTCCCCACTAATGCTGCGTGGCCGCTGCAGACACTCGCCTCATCTTCACTCTGGGTCTCAGGCTGACAAAACAGTCTTTTTTTTTTTCAAATATATTTTTTATTGATTTCAGAGAGGAAGGGAAAGGGAGAGAGAGATAGAAACATTAATGATGAGAGAGAATCATTGATTGGCTGCCTCCTGCATGACCCCCACTGGGGATCGAGCCCACAACCTGGGCATATGCCCTGACCAGGATTCGAACCGGTGACCTCTTGGTTCCTGGGTCGACGCTCAACCACTGAGCTACACCCGGCTGGGCTGACAAAACAGTCTTTACTTGGGATGTAGGAGGGACACCACACACTGGCTTGTAGTGCTCCCACCTGGAAGTGTCGTTTCTGCTAACATCTCATTGGCCAGAGCAAACCATAGGAGTGAGCCTGCCATCATGGGACAGGAAAGTGTAATCTTGTCCCTTTGGAAGGGACAGGAAGGGAATTTTTCTTTTTTACTTTATTATTATTATTCTTTTTTAAATATATATTTTATTGATTTTTTTACAGAGAGGAAGGGAGAGGGATAGAGAGTTAGAAACATCGATCAGCTGCCTCCTGCACACTCCCCACTGGGTATGTGCCCGCAACCAAGGTACATGCCCTTGACTGGAATCGAACCCGGGACCCTTGAGTCCGCAGGCCAATGCTCTATCCAAACCATTTAGGGCTATTATTATTATTTTTAATTTATTGATTTCAGAGAGGAAAGGAGAGGGAGAGACAGAGAGAAACATCACTGATGAGAGAGAATCATTGATCGGCTGCCTCCTGCACGCCCCTACTAGGGATCGAGCCCGCAACCTGGGCATGTGCCCTTGGCCGGAATCGAACCTGGGACCCTTTAGTCCGCAGGCCGACGCTCTATCCATGAGCCAAACCAGCTAGGGCAGGAAGGGAATTTTCCAACAGCACCAAAGTCTTCCCAAGTTAGAAACTGTTTTAGCTCTCTAGGAATTGAGTAGAAGAGGGAGAGGTCTTTGGTTCTCGAAGGATTTCCCCACACGGCCATCGGGTGAGCCCAGGGAACAGTGGGAAGCAGGGGAGGAAGCAGGATCCCAGCTCTGAGGACTCCATGCCTGACCACAGGGACCGCCATGCTTTCACCCAGCTGACTGTCCACTCGGACGTCCCTTCCCTGTCCCCTCAGCCACTCATACTCATACAAGACCCGCAGCTCACACGGACACGTTCCAGCCGGCACCCCCATTGGCTCAAATGGTCTCCGGGCATCTCAGATGACGTGGGGCCGTCAACCGCCTCTAGCTCACCTGTCCCGCTAATCAGCTCTGTCTCTTCCTTGCAGAGCCACTTGTACTTGCTGGTCACCGACCAGGGCTTTCTGCAGGAGGAGCAGGTGGTGTGGGAGAGCCTGCACAACGTGGACGGGGACAGCTGCTTCTGTGACTCGGACTTTCACCTGAGTCATTCCCTGGGCAAGGGGCCTGGAGCGGAAGGTGGGAGCGCCTCCCCGGAAAAGCAGCGGCAGGTAGACCAGGTGTGCGGCGCTTTTGGGGAAGGGCGCAGAGAGCACGTTCCCTTCAGGGACCTTTTTGCCGTCTGTGAGCTGCGTGCATCGCGGTCATCTAGCGATGATTACGTGACACCCCTGTCCCTTTCCTGTTCCCCGGGGGCCATCTCTACGCTTGGTGGGTATTCTCCTACTGGCACCACAGAGATGTGCTTGGCTGTGTGATATGCTCTGGAGGAGGAGGAATGAGAGAAATGGGAAGACCAGGAGGAAAACTGGTTTGGGAACCTAAGCCTAGCTGGAATATCTCCCAGGCCGCAGCCCACCTCACAGCCCTGCTCGCTCCCCGTCTCTGCAGGACTACCTGATCGCCTTGTCCCTGCAGCAGCAGCAGCCACAAGGCACGTTGGGTCTCAGCGACTTGGAGCTGGCCCAGCAACTGCAGCAGGAGGAGTACCAACAGCAGCAAGGGGCCCAGCCGGTGCCAGCACGGGCCCCGTCGCCACAGGTGAGCCCGCTGTACCCTGGCCTTAGCGGTTGTTATTCTTCAAGGTTTCCCTGGGGGGCCCTTCTCCTGTCTGGCCCTCTCCCCTGGATCCCTTCCTCTCTTCCTCTCCCCACTGCCCGCCCCCTCCCCATCCTGACCCGCTTCCATCCAGAATCTGTCCTCGTGCTCTGCCCAGGAGGATGGATGCCACTTGTTAAATCCCATACAGGGGAGAGGAGCCCCATCTGGACGCCCGGCGGGAGAGCGGGCGGCGGCGGCCCAAGCCGGAGTCCGACTGTGTCCTCCTGTAGCGCTCGGTGCCCGGTGCCCGGTGCCCGGCTGCCCTGCCTCTTCTGTCAGAGGCTGTGACTATTGGGCTTGCTCTCCCAGGTCACCCCCTGAGATATGCAGGGTAACTTATTTATGGACGGTTGGGGATCCGAGCGGGAAGGAAATGTCAAGGTCAGACTCGGCGACCTCCTTGCTCACTCACTGCGGCCTTCTCTTCCTCCCAATCACCCAGGGCAACAGTGGGACTGCTGGGGTGAGGATGTCTGATCCCCAACTCCCTCTTCCCAGAATATCACACTAATATACAGACTCAGGCTCCAGGGTGAGGTCCCTGCCTGCAATGCATCTCCCCTACCTCTCCCCTGACTGGCGGGGTCCTTCTGGCTATCCTGCAAGTCCATCTCCCTCTGTTTCAGGATTGATTTGGGTTTCTATCTTCATTATTTGTAATGCCTTCCTAGGGGTTTGGAAATAAAAATTGTCTCCTGAGATCTGTTGTTTGCCATACCCTGCAGCAACGGGGTCAAGTGGTGAAGTATTTGACCCAGTTGAGGAATGCAAAGGGGGAGGGGGGGTAGAGGTGTGAGGGGGTTGCCTGTCATATCTGAATGAGCCAGCAGGGGGAACCAGAGCCTGCTTTTCCCTTCGCTGTTTGTGTTCCTCTGTTTTTGCTAGGCCTTCTTTGGGAAATTGTCCTCTGATTTGGAGGTGGGTTTCCGAGTCCCCCTTTGGACAGAGGAATGTAGGGACTGTGCTCCCTGCTAACCCGAGAGACTTCCCAGGCAGGCAAGAGGCAGCTGATCCTCGGCTTGCCTCCCAGTTTTGTACAGATGGTCCTTTGCTACCTCTGACCATTTCTGACCTTGTTCAGGTTCCTGTTTCTCAATTATTTTGCCTAAAATTTCCTGGGGAAGAGAGAATAATGGGGGGGAGGGGAAAAGGGGGTGTAGAGGGGAGAGACAACCCTAAGGGAGGGGGGTTGTTGATAACTGCAGCTCTAAAGTCCAAAACAGGATTCCTGTTGAATAACCAAATGCACTTCAACTTCAAGGCCTCCTCCCAGCCCCATGTCCTGCTCCACCCAAACTTCAATCAGGGAACACAAACAAGAATGAAAGTAGTTAAAAAAACTACCAGTGTGGGTGAGATGTTCTGCCCAGGGTATGGGAAGAAGGAGCAGGGCAGAAACTATCAAGGAGATCCCATTAACCCACACCTAAGACAGAACTAGGCGATCCAGGTGCAGCTACCACTTTGAGATGAGGACAATGAAGGGATTTAAAAGAAAACTTCGAGTTCCACCCTCAACAAGAAGCTGGAACATGTAATGCTCAGTGAGGGGTTATCCTATTTGGAGGCTCCGCTGGTCTCCTGCAGGCTCAGCCAAACATGGGACTCTCAGATCCTTGAATGTCATGTGGGAGTGGAAGGGGGAGGGGAGTCTCAAAGGTCTTCGGCCCTGCACAGGGCTAGTAGGGCTAGTCGGCAGTCCCCTTTCACAGCATCCTGCAGACAAGAGAACTAAATGTTAGAAAGACCAACTACCACTGTGGCCCAGGACCCTGCCCCCTCCCTCGTGCTGGTACAGAACTTGTCTGGTGCCCGGAGCCTTACACTGAATTAACCCGAGACTCATGAATTCTCCAGGGCATATGCTCAGCTGTGTGCGGGGAGTGCAGGGGGGAAGCGAGGGGGCAGAGTGCTCACCTGGAGGGAAGAGTAGAGGGACTTCCCAAATTTCCTTCTGAACTCAGCTCGGATGCTTAGAAGGTCAGTCTCACTTCTAGAGATAAGGATGCGCATCAGGGCTTGGTAATTGGGCTCCGTTTCCTAGTAGGAGAAGAAACAGATGGGGAGGGGGATGGCAGTAAGATTCTCAAAGAATAGGGATTAGATGTCATGGTAAATTATTCTAGAAAGTGGAAAGAGAAGAGATTATCTAGGGCAGCGGTTCTCAACCTGTGGGTCGCGACCCCTTTGGGGGTGGAATGACCCTTTCACGCCTAAGACCATGGGAAAACACATATACAATTACATATTGTTTTTGTGATTAATCACTATGCTCTAATTATGTTCAATTTGTAACAATGAAATTGGGGGTCACCACAACATGAGGAACTGTATTAAAGGGTCGCGGCGTTAGGAAGGTTGAGAACCACTGATCTAGGGGAAAAGTTATCTTTGTCCATCCTCATGGAAGATGGCGCAGCAGGAAAGATCAGGCTCCGGCAGAAGCTGGGGTACTATTCTTCCCTTCCACGTCTTTCCTGGCCAGGCCACTAGCTCAGAGGCTCGCTCCCCCAGAGCTCGGTCGTTCATGGGCAGCTCCAAAGGCAGGCACTCAAAAGACATGAATTCTCCAGGGCATGTGCTCAGCTGTGTTCGGGGAGTGCAGTGGGGAAGTGAGACTTGCTACCTATAAAGACTTCCAGCAT